GAAGGAAGGAAGGAAGGAAGGAAGGAAGGAAGGAAGGAAGGAAGGAAGGAAGGAAGGAAGGAAGGAAGGAAAAAAATTTTCCAGAATCCCCTACTGTCTGTTTCAGGTTGGGTCTCTTTCTTTGCTTGCCCAGAGAACCTGTCTTAATTTTCATCATATCACCACAGTTTCTGTGTTCACCTATTCTTGGATATGTATCTCTAAAGCAAGATTTGTATCTTTTATTTTTTTTATATCTTGTGTATATCTAAGCTTGTGTAATTCAGTAGTTTAAAACATTATCTCATAGTGAGTGTAGTTGAGAATGAAGGATTGTCTTGGCTGAATAGCTCTGCCTCTGCCTCAGTGTCTTTCATGAGGTTCCTGCCAAGATTGCAGCTGCAGGTGGCCCCTTCCCTCAACCCTTGGCTAATGCACAGGGACCTTGTTTCCAAGATGACACTCTCATACAGCTGTCAGATGTCAGGGTCCTTGGCTGTATGTTAGCAAGAGGCATCAGTTCCTTACAATGATATGGACCTCCACATGGGCTGCGTGAACAACTTTACAGTGACGCTACAGGCTCCCTACAAAATGAACAACCCAAGAACAAAGCCAGAGGAAACTGCAGTTCCTTCGTGGACTGACCCACACCTCAGCCCCATCAAATGACACTGGTTAGAAACCCTACTCAAAAGGAGAGAGCTTCAACTATAGAGAAGTTCAAAGAATTTGCGAACAGCTCTTTGCAGCATATTTTAATTAAGAATGAATTCTAACTGAACTGCTGTTTGGAAGTATACTGTACCAGAATTAAGTGTCAAATCATTGTTTTAGGAGAAATGTGTCCAGTTATTAAATATGACTATCTTATAAAACTTGATTTTTATATGTACCATGTTATTCTTGGTTTTGTTTTTACTTTGTAAAGTAAGAATTAATTAGAAAAGCTCAGAAAGACTTTTTCAGGTTCCTAAAAAGAAAAACCAGTCCCAGCACTCTTGTAAGTCACAATCTTCAACAAGTAAATAGTCTTTGATATTGAAATATCTCTCTGGACCATATGGTCATCCTTGCACAATTAAAGTACACCAAAGCCAGGCACATAATAAATGCTCAATAAAATGTCGTTGAATAAATGAAAGAATAAAGAGGAAATGCACGGCTCAGCTGTTCTTTAGCACTCTTCCTAAGTCTGTGCGGATGGGTGTGACGTGTGCGGCTCTATTGGGG